TTAGATAGATATGATACAAACGCCTTTAATTCCACCTATGTTCTGATGTCAGTGATAAATAACAGAGCACCTCTCTGCTACCTCCAGCAACTGACCAATCACATCCGGGACACGTTGCCGGCGTTGCGCAGTAAACTGCAGAGTCAGCTGCTTTCCATCGAGAAGGAGGTGGAGGAGTACAAGAACTTCAGACCGGATGACCCGAGCCGCAAGACCAAGGCCTTGCTGCAGTAAGGACCAGATATTCACCCACGGCTCTCTTTAACACGCAGTTACAACGATTCAACGGGTCAAGATCCAACATGCATCATGCCAAGCTATGCGTTTTCTCTACTAGTGTAGAGAAAACGCATAGCTTGGCATGATGCATGTTGGATCATGTGGCAGCACATGTTTAAGGACTAATGAACACGTCTGAGTTTACTTTGGACACACAGTCTACAGTATACTTACAGACTCAAGTATACACATACACTAATATTTGGTTGTCTCTCATCAAGCAGACACGTTTGGTATCAACAGGCTTCCAGATGATATTTGACATCTCTTTTTGGTAGAGTTCATTTAAACTTGGTTCCTTTGCAGAGCTTTTAAGGTCTCCCATTTTCAACAGGGTTGAAGTCAGTTAATGTTAGCCTGCTTTATCCATTCCAGATCTAGTGTTAATGTGTGTTTGTCCCCAATTGTGTCCATGTTTCAGCCCTGTAGTTACTGATTGAAGGTTACTCCATTACTTGAACAACTTTGTGTAATGTACCACTGGCACCAAACAGCCCAGAGCACGATGCTGCCTCCACCATGCGTGCTTGCTGCTGCAGTGCTCCTGTGTTTGAAAGCCTCAGCTTCATCTCTTTAGACCCCGAGTGACCCCGAGTGCATCAAACACATCTTTTTTATCACCAATGAGACGTCAACAAGCCTCGTCATGTAAAAAGATATCGCAGAACATCTGAGGAAGCTTCTCCAGCTCCAGACCAAAGGGTGGAGAGTCCCAGAGTGTAGCCCTATGGGAGTGTCCCTTAATGAGATCGTTGACAAAATATTGACCGTGGTGCCTCATCACATGAGCCAAGGTGTGAAAACAGGTGTGGGTCATTATCAGCAGAGGCTCCAGGGCTGTGTCCCAATTCAGGGTCTGCAGCCTTAAAGGCCGCATTTTAAGGCC